GGGTGGGGCTGGGGTGGGGGTTTAAGGGGGGTTAGGGGGTAAGAGCCGTCATTTTTACAAACGGAGCACCGTAGGTACCCCAAACGAACTAGTGTAAAAAATTACACCAGTAGAACTAGTGTCACTAGTGTCATTTTAGACTTACCGCACGTGTGTGTGTGTCTATATATATATATATATATATATATATATATATATATATATATATATATATATATATATAGTACTTTAAAGTTTCATATTAAATACTCTGTATAAAATTTATGTATGAATATTTAATACTCCGTAATTGGAAAATGCTAGGGGTACACCAAAGGTGCACCCCAAATGTCTCCCACTCCCTCCTTGTCTACAAAAATAGGCAAGAAAATTAAAAAAAATAAGTAAATAAAAATCAAATAAAAATGAGTGGTTATGAAGAGGGGTAGGGGACATTTAGAGTACACCTTTGGTGTACCCCTAGCATCTCTCTTAATAATTACTCGAGTACATAATGTTCATCTCCTTAATTTTTTTATACTGTATTTTGTTTGCTAATAACAATTCTAACCAATTAAAGTAAATATAAAATCTGGGTAATTCTTAAAAGAGTAAATTCCATAATTGGTCCTTTATAACAAGGGGGTTTCCATATTTAATCCTCTATTATCAAATATTACCCCCGTAGTCCTTTTTTAAAGGGTGCCTTTCCACAAATGGTCCTTTTTTTGATCTTCTGCCATGTTGGTGTTAATTTAAAGGCTAAAAATATAATTTGACATCAACATTATGTTTAGTAATGTGTTCTGATATTGGTTAAGCGAATAACACAAAAATAATGACTATGATTGTAGGCAAAAATTCCGACGAAAGATCACATTTGTAGACTATAGTTGTAGTACAAAGCGACTGTAATTCACAAACGACGCAAATGGAACAACCTTTGGAATTGTATATGACAAAAAAGATATATTATCATTGTGAAATTACACTTTTAGCCCTGAAATTAACACCAACATGATTGAAGATCAGAAAAGGGACTATTTGTGGAAAGATACCCATAAAAGAAGGACCACTGGGGTAATAATTGATAATAGAGTACTAAATAGGGAAACTTCCCTGTTATAAAGGACCAATTATGGAATTTACTCTTCTTAAAATCTTAATAACACTCTGAGTGCGAACGTTAAAAAACTAATGTTTAATCCCTATCGTTTTTAACATATAATTTTTATTGAAAAATTATAAATCAATTTTCAAATATATTGAAATAAAAATAATTTAGATCAAACATCATAGACCAAAACAACTTTTTTTGAAGCATATAATCACGTAGCTAGACAGCTTATATTTAAGGTAAATCATAAAAGAAAATCATCTGAGTATTATGATTAAAGCTACTCATACATCAAGGGTTAGTTGTATCCCAAAATGTACACCACATAAGTGCACCAACATTTTTGTGGTTCACACTGGCACAAAATATTAGGGTAATTTTTTCGACCACACTAGCATTTTGTATCAGTGTGAACCATCAATCTTTGATGGTTTATAACTTGAGGTAGAATCTTTGATGTACACCTAGCATAATTGGAGTTTTATTATAGTGCAATGCTAGGTGTACTCCAAAACGGCCTGGGGTACACCATTTGTATCACAGTCATTAACATAATGCCAGGAGTATGAACGAGGTGCCTCATTTTGGGATACACCTAGGTTAATTCATTACTTCCCCCGTCCCACTATATTTGTCCACTTTTATTTTTGCACACCATCCAATACACTTCTTTAATCCATTTTATCTTGTAATTTGTATATTAAAAAATTATAGAAATTATATATTAATAATCTATATGTTAAGACAAATCAAACAAGATCACGCATGACTATATTTAGGCTTACACATTGAGAGAATTTGATGAGTCAAAGTGCTTAGATGAACAGTTTCAAAAGTCAAAAGTGGACGAATATAGCGGGACGGAGGGAGTATTAAATTAGAAGAAACTTACAAGTNCCACTATATTTGTCCACTTTTATTTTTGCACACCATCCAATACACTTCTTTAATCCATTTTATCTTGTAATTTGTATATTAAAAAATTATAGAAATTATATATTAATAATCTATATGTTAAGACAAATCAAACAAGATCACGCATGACTATATTTAGGCTTACACATTGAGAGAATTTGATGAGTCAAAGTGCTTAGATGAACAGTTTCAAAAGTCAAAAGTGGACGAATATAGCGGGACGGAGGGAGTATTAAATTAGAAGAAACTTACAAGTAACACCAATCAATGACAAGATTAGATTGATGCATATCATTGAGATTAGATATATCTTGTGATGAAATGGATGAGATTATGATAAGCTATAGGTATAGTAGGGTATGTACACAATACATAGCATTAGAATAGGCATTCATTCATTCATTCATGAGCAATAATAGAAGTGACTTTCTACTTTGAGTGCCAAATGAGGAAATAATTAAACACAGCAAAGATTTGGCGTGTGACTGATTTGCTACAAGGCAAAGAAAACAAGCTAAGGCAGTGGATGTGACAAGAGACTTATTTACTTCCTGAATTTGGAAACACTCTCTCATGCGTCACAAGAAATCATAATGACCATTTCAAGAAATTTAGAAAAACAAAACACATGCCCCATTTTTTTTCCTTTTCACAAAAACAGAAACAAACAACTGTACGTGTGACCTTGTTTTCTGCTAAAACATTGTCACAAATAACCACAAACATATGTCAAGAAAATCTAGAACTACATGTTTAAAGCCAAAAGCACTCCACCCACATACTAAAAAAAACCCTCCATTTCATAAACTTCCAATCATTTCGTGAGATAGATTATAAATTATAATCTATATGTTCCATAATTTTCTCTCTACTCCCTCCCTTTGTAAAAACACTTTCGCCCGCGACAAAAAAACTTTTACTTTGACTTAAAATGTCTAAAACACATTTCATCATGTAGTTTATAATGGGTAGGAATTATTTTGGGAGTATTTTAGATATTTTAGGTAGAGTAAAATTATTTTATAGGATGCGCAAAAAATTAGGGCGGAAGTGTTTTTTAAGAACAGAAAGAGTATTTGATTTTTCCTTGTCAACCACTTTATAATCTGATAACAAAATATGGGAAAAAAATATAGAGGAATTTACTTAAATAGCACTAAAACATAATGATTTTCCTTAAATAGCACCACATGTATTTTTCTTCTCAATGTAGCACTTTTAGTCATTATGCATTAGTCATTATTCAAACATTATGGACATTATTAAGTGTTATTTAGGGAATAAAATAGTTTAAATGCTATTTAGAAAAATGACTTAAGTTTTAGTGTTATTTAGTGCAAATATTTCAAAAGGTATATTGCATTATACTCCGTGCGAAATATTATAAATTTAATGCCTAAAAATTCATTTTGAAACATAAATTATAAAATAGTACCAAATTTGATTAATATATACATATATTTATATATAAATAAAAATAATAATTGTCAAAACAATGCATTTGAGACCGTGCAAAAACAACAAGGATAAAAATTATGAAACGGAGGTAGTATAGTACAAGATATATTATTTAACTAACAAAATTATTTTATCATAATTTTTATTCAATGCAAATTGATGTGTTATGAGATTGACAGAACATAGACATAATTTACAGAATTATTATTATTTATTATTATTATTATTATTATTATTATTATTATTATTATTATTATTATTATTATTATTATTATTATTATTACATGAAGATGGTGGAGCAGCTAGAGTGAGAAATAAATAAATAAATAAGTATATAGATTGAAAGAACCTGGGTGAGGAGAGCGAGGTGTTCAACGCCAAAGGATCTAGCGGCGGAGAGGGTATCCAGGGCGAGATCGACGGCGGAGGAGCAATGGGTGTGCCAGCAGGAGCGGTCGCCGCAGTTGGGGCGGGGCTCCTGCTTCTGGGGCACGACGGAGACCTGGCCGCTGTACAGGAACTGGAGCATGAGGAGGAAAACCTCGTACCCCACGGAGTTGACCGGAATGACCCCCGGGGGATGGTGGCGGTGGTGGGATTCGGGGGCGGCGGAGAAGAACTTGCGGAAGAAGAGGCTCCTGGCGGCCAAGATGGAGCGGTGGGCGTGGACGAGTCTGCCCTCCACGCTGAAGGTGACGTCGCTGAAAGCCTGGCCGTTGATGAGGAGGTTCAGGTAATCCAACGACAGAGATCTTAACGACTCCTCCAAACTCATTATATATTTATTATTATATATTCGATCTCTTCTTCTTATACTACTGATAACCACTTATTAAATCGATCTTCTGCTTTGCCTTTGCCTTTGCTTCACAGAGCAAAGCCAGCTAGGGATAGAAAGAAAGAGAGAGAATAAAGCTGAGCTGAGGAGGAAGAATGAAGGAAAAAAGGTGTGTATAGTAGTGGAGTGTGCTGTGGCACTAAACAGTAAGAGAGAGAGAGAGAAGAGAGATGCTGTAGATGAAAGATACTTGTGAGGGGAGAGGCAGTTCCGCTCGCTCGATCTTGAAGAACAAACAACATACAAGATGGATCAAGAGGAGTGAATAATGAGTAAAAAAGGGAGATGTCACTTGTGTGTGGATGATGAGAGAGTTTTAGGTCATCACTACATTCCACCCATTCCATTATTATTACCATTACTACCCATTGTCAAATCTACCTCACCAATTCCTTACAAATATTGCACTAATTAATTATTCCTTGGGGTGAAATTGACATTTCCTGCCCTGCATACCCCTCCCCTAAACCTCCCACCCTATCCCCGCACGTGCACTCCCACCCCACAAAATGTGTGGCTATATATTATGCAACGCATGATAGTCACATATTTTATAGGGGGCTTACGGCGGGGTTGGGTGGGGGTGGGGTGCAGGGGCGGAGGTTGGGTAAAGGGTTTAGGGGGTGGGTTAGGGGAGGTAGGAACCGTTAATTTTACAAATCGAGCACCAGAAGTACTCCAAAATGATTGTATCACCGGAGTGTCACCGTACTTCGGTGTCACTAAAACCCATCGTTAATAATTACTCACCCCTACTTAAATAATCTTACCATTTACACTCTTCATTTCAAATTATTCTTCTCATTTTAAACAATTTATAAAATCTCATATTTTCTAAAATAGTTTTACTTATAGATTAGTATAAGAATAAAAAATATATATTATACCGTTCAAATAAAACTACATTAAAAATTATAAATGCTACAAAATAAGATGTGACAAGAATATTTTATTCTATCAGATGATCAAAAAAAGCATGCATACAAATTTAAGTTATCATGAGGCTTCAAATAATAAATTGGAAGACTAAATAATTTCAGACGGACGAAGTACTATTTATAAGGTTAACCTAATTCACTACTATAAAAAAGAGTAAATCGACTATCTCATTCACATCGATTTCACTGAAAACAAATGCAAATGGGGTGTAGGTTTTTGCCAACTACTTTTCTTTAGCATCGGTTGTTAGTATTAACCGATGCAATAGGCATTTGCATCAGTTTTTACCGATAATCAATGCAAAAGAGTTACTACTAAAGAAATTACCTTTTGCATACATTGTTTTTTACCTTTTGCATGTTCCTTACCGATGCAAAAGGTAGCAATACAATTCGAGCAAGTACTTTTGCATCGGTTGTTTAATCGATGCAAAAGACCTCCATGAGGTTAAACATAACAGAAGAGCATAACAAAGCAGAGCAGAACAAAGCACAACACAACAGAACAAAAGAGTAAAGTTTTTAACAAAGTGCTCATATTGATGCACCACAATATAATAACTAAACAAGATATTCATTTCAACGAAACAATCATGCAATTCAATACATAAACTTTAATTACACATACAATGATTTTACATATTAGATGACTACAAACTAATCAAATAACAAGATTAGTACATACTTATAAAGTCACTAACCATAAATCTAAATTTATAATGTTGAACAAAACTAACCAATGATGGAGTCATATGTATGAATCTTAAACTAAACCATCAAGAAAACTACCAGCCTAGAACTCCTGAATCTTATCAATTTAAGTGAAGGAGCAGGGTCGGCAATCTAAGGCAACAGAGAAAGGGTAGCAACGACGAGGCAGCAACGACGAGTGGAGGAGAATAACGATGGTGAGGTAGCGGCAATGGCGACGGAGAGGCAACGAAGACGCTGACTCGAAGGTGTTGGAGAGGCAACAACGACGATGAATGAAAGAGGCCATATCAGGAAAGAATAACAAGGGAGCTACAACAAAGGGGAGGGTGAGGACAGGGACTGTAAGGCCAAGGGATAAGCTTTGCGAAAGTGAGATCTTGTAAAGGATAAGTGTCTTGTGGTTAATTTTAGGTTACTCTTTTGCATCGATTATTAGTAATAATCGCTGCAAAATGAGTAACTCTTTTGCATCAGTTATTAGTAAAAACCGATACAAATTCCTATTGCATCAACTATTACTAATAACTAATGCAAAAGAAAAGTGGTAGGCGAAAACATACACCTCATTTGCATCGATTTTTAGAGAAACCGATGCAAATGGGTTAGTCGATTTAGAAATACTTTCTCATATTCTATATTCTTTTATGATACCGAAGCACTAGTGCATGTTTCTTTTCTTTCAATTGACAATACCATTGTTTTAGCATGGTTGATCGTCGATCGTGGTTCTCACCGAGAAAACAAATGACTTATACAAGTCACACAGTGTGGCTTCTAGCATTCCTCCACAATCACATACTATCTCGTCATATGATTTACATGCCAATTAAAGTCCTAGATTGATCATCATGCTAGTTTGAGCATCATATTGCAAGAAAATGGGAACAAAAAGGACTTGTGTTTTGAGCTAATTGGCTATCCTTAAACGACTGCGCTATCACCCTTAGTTTGGAAGGAACCGTAATACTACTAGTCGCGAGAGTGGATGGGGTAATAATTCACACAACCACCATGGTGAACTAGGCAGCCAGTGCCGGTGGCAAGTTAGGTGACACAATAACTTCCTCTCTTACACCTGACAAACGATAAACTTTTCGAGCGCTCCTAGCCTCCCAAATTCTAAGGTACTCCGTTTTTCAAACATTGGATAGTTGATACTGGTTCTAAAAATCGTACAGTATGGCTGTGGATATGGATTGTTTGTTTGATTCTTGTTGAATATGGGAACAATAGATTTACTCAAAGAATACTTAAATATACAATTGTGTACACATAGAAGACATTCCTAACATAGACAAGAATATTCCTAATAAAGAAGCAAAAGCATAACCAAGCACTACCATGAGTATTAATAATATTACTATTTCATAACTTCCCTCCTCAAGATGAACATCCTGAAACAAGAGGAAGTTCAGACAAAAGATCCTTAAACCGCAAAGAGCGAAGTGTCTTTGTGAATAAATCAACAACCTGATTAGCAAAAGAAATATGAGAGACCATCATATTTTCAATAATGATTTGTTCTCTAAGAAAATGACAATTGGTGTTTTCATATTCGTGCGCTTATGAAAGACAGGATTCATGGTTAGGCAAATGACAGACATGCATGTTGCACATAACAGGTGCAGATGAGATAATGCAATCCACAAGATTTGTAAAAATAAGGCACATTATCTCAGAGGTGGCATAGGTAAGAGATTGATATTCTGCCTCAATGGATGATTTTGAGACATGGCTTGGTTTCTCTATACTCCATGAGATAAGGTTAGATCCAAAATAAATCAGGTAGCCTTTAATGGAGCAACCATTAGTCGTGTCGTTTGCCCGATCAGAGTTAGAGTATGCATATTTATATATATCGCTACAGGTCCAGGACAAAAAACCAATCCATGGTCAAAAGTACCATAAATGAATTGTAAAATCCGCTTTAGAGAGCGAAAGTCTTGATCAACAGGCGCATGCATATGTTGGCAAACATGATTCTGAACTAACTGTATATCAGGCTGAGTGGTAGTATGATACGGAAGAGAATTAGAAGGGTTGTGTAAGAATGTGGGATTCGTGAAGGGTATTTCGGCCCATCTTCAGCCCCAAACATGTATACGGGTCGATGATGGCTTATAGTCGTCCATGTAACACCTTAATCCGTAACCTGGAATAATACGAATTAAGGTGAAATGAAGCAAAAAAAATTTCAAACGTTCTTTTAATAAATAAATAAAATTCATATAACAAAATTCAAAATAAAAAACAAATCAAAATCTTTGAACTCAGATCGATTATTTACAAAATGTCGGAGATAGCGGAAGACTTAAACAATATAATATAATATTACATGGTCAAGCCCAAAACATCACAACACATCACTTATAGAAATTATGCATGACAATCTGTCATCATATCATCTCATCATCCTCCGGAGTAGTTCACATAAACTATACTTCAACCATATCGCGATATATAAAGCTGAGTGGTACAATATCGCGATAGATCAATACCATATTTATACATAAATATCCTGCAACACATTGTTCATATAATTACATGGTTGCATGACAGACGACTTAACATACTAGACACAAATCTATAGCTTAAGTATTTAATGTCAATGATATGCATATTGCTATACGTATCAAAGAGATGACACTTTGGTCTTGTTGTTAATGATATTAAATAATAAATATAAACATGTTTGCACTTAAATATGTGTTGACTAAGATGGTTGTTCATGAGGATGCTAAAGTGAGCAAGGACCTCTTGCACTCTCATATCATCTCATGGAGGTAATGACTCATGCATCAACTTAGTCTTGACTCTTGATGACAAAACTAGCAGCGAGTGGCAATCTATAACCTGAATTACCATGTATGTACACTTTACTCGAACAACAACTCTTTTGAACTACTAAGTTCCGCATGAGCACAACTCTAAAGGGGCGGGCGAAGCGTACCCTCTTAAGTAGCATGAGATGAAACAATCCTAACTTCAAGAATGCATCTAGCTATGATACATGGTATGAAAGGATGGAACATGTTAGCAAATATGAATTGGTTTATTCCATTATAACAATAGTATTATTTCAAAAACATAATATTATTAGTGGAAAAGCATAGTGGATGGTTCAAAAGATAAAAATGAATCAAAGGCGAGGTTAGAGTATTTAGAGACAATTTTTGAAAAACTCACAGTGACTATGACGGTCCACCGTGGTGCTCGACAAATTCCCAGCTTAATAAGAATCAATTATTTAGTGTATGTAATACTTGTCAATTGGGAAAATATGTTCGGAGCAATAAGGTTAAACTCCATAATTGGTCCTTCAACTTTATCAATTGTGCACGATTGGTCCTTCAAGTTT